TGAGTCCGTTGGGCATCCAGAATATTTGCTGTTTATGAAAAAGGTTCGCCTGAAACCATCCCTGATTTGACCAGCGATGGAGAAGTAGTTGACAGGCTGGGAATGTATGTCTGTCCAGGGACTTGTTAGAAGACGATCACGAGAAAACCAGTTGGTCTTGGTAGATCCTTTGGCGTTGAATACCAAACGAACAACCTCTGTCTTGTCCTTGTACAACGACAATCGAACCTACAACAAATTGAATTCCCAGTAGCTAGGGACTATAAGCAAACTTGCCAGCTCTTTGGCCACGTGACTTTCGTTTCCGCTCTCTTTGGTCACGTGACGTTTTCYCCGCCCTTTTTCAACAGTTGCTAACAAATAGTATACACCTAAATCCAAAATGGCGCACGGCCGGTTGAAAACGCGGCATCCAGGGCCAAATTTACAAATTTACAGTATTTTCTGATAAATTATGCTGCATAATTTTCTCTATCCTGAATGTAAGAAGAAAAGGAAGACAGAACAAGTGAACAAGTGTATACTTTGCATTGACACCATATTATTTCTTTTGGAATTCGGTGTATAGATACAACAGTACCTGTGTTGGATTGAATGCCTGCCAGTGCTCTACGATTCTGTTCTTGTAGTGCTGTCTGGACGAGCTGTTTATGGGTAAAGCTGACGACGAGGATTCTAGAAGAGAGTTTGACAGCCATAATACTGAAGGACCTTGTTGTTGTAGTGGTACACCACTTACRGCCTTGAAGACCATCGTCCAGCCTGAATCATCTAACATGGTCAAAGAAAGAAAGTCAGCAACATGCTGATCTCTATAGTTTGTAATATTTAAGGGTTCACTTTACCTTCTCCGTTGCCATGGTCACAGTAAACATCGATCTTGTTTTTGTCTGGAGTAATGATTTCGTAGATACCGCTGTTTGTGTAGCCAGCAGCAAATCGTTGTGCGCAGCTGCGAAAATCTGATGAACACGAATGATAAAAGTCAATATACTTACTGTTACATTCATTTTTTCTGTTTCGTTGCTATGGTTACCTGGTATCTGACAGTCTTGTCCCAGTGTGCCTGCAGGACATTCACATTTGTAGGTGTGGTTTGTATAGAATGGAACACACTTTCCTCGATGCTTGCACGGTTTTCTCTCGCATGGACTCTAACAGTTTAAGATATATATTTTACATATGAGTTCACCCGTGCACAGGGAATTTAGATAAACATTTAGGACAGAGAGACAAAGACTCACCGCAATGCTGTAATGATCAATCCCTTTGCTTGGTCTAAAATTCGACTGGTTTTCATATTTGTCAGAAGCCAAGAGCTCACACACATRHAAGCCTTGGTCATCACCAGTTGTGTTCACATTGACAGATAAACATCCGTGAGTTTGGACGCATCGAACTAGGCATTCATCAGAAGACACGACTCTTTCGTCCTTCAGTGTCGCTGCAACAAGCTTGTGGTCCTTGTGAGGAAAGAAGTTTCCAAACGAGAAAACACCTGAATTACTTGCACGAAAAACTTCTTCACACATAGCAAGGCGAAACAAAACGAACGCTAACGCAATGCTTATGACAACCATGTTGAAAGTAACTTGTACTTTATACCTTGTACTTGTTCCTTTTTTTTTGCCAACCGACAAAGTTGGCTAACATAGAGTTTGTCTTTTTTTTGTACTAAACAGATGTTTATAGATTACACTCCATAAAAAGTGGTGTGCATTGTTTGAAAAACATGTKAAACCGGCTTTTGTGTATCTTGAAACGTAGTTACTCTAATTTTCCTTACTTTCAAAACAATCCCTTTTTCAATTTTATCACTTCGTTGGCACATTCAGATTCCCTTTTAAGAACAAATACCAGTTCAACATGACATATACTTAAAAAAATATTGATTCCGATTGGCTGAGAGCAGTTCTGTTAACAAATAACACAGCAGGATAAAACGTAATTTCCGTTGTACTGCAAATTAAAAWTGGTAAACATCTCATGAATATTATTAATTATTAGTTAGTAGTCAATCATATGGCTCAATTTGGAATCAATTTTTACTTGTGTTTTTAGGAAATATCTCAAGTGTCGGGGTAACTGAATATTTGCAATAAAATTTCAATTTGCACTCGAAACTCCACTCCTTCTTTCTATCTTTCATTTCCTTCTCGTCAAACGTTCCCAACTTCTCAAGTTTATTGTTCATAATTAATGATTAATAGATCTGTTATCCTCTATTAATTAATTATCCTCTATTAATTAATTAATTAATTATCCTACTAGCTACTGCAGCTAAAACCATTCTGCCTGCGGACATCATGCAGACTCTGTGGCTATCACGTATCATAAATGGCTTTGCTTTCCTTCCTTCTCTCTCATCAARCTTTACCAACGTGTTTTTCCTTCTGTTCCATTCTTTTATTTTCTCTTTCTAGCTCTCTTTTCCTTTTTAAGTCTTTCTATCATTCCCTTTCATTTTCAATATTTTAAATTAAAACTAAAACTATCCCGCTCGACACCAGAGAAAAACGTTTGCGCATGCGTGCACTTCAGCACGTTTTCTAAGAATTTTGAAGAGTTTGAGCGAGAAAATAAATGCTTGTTTTCTCCAAGTATAAAAAAA